AAGAATTTTGTGTTCCAAAGTTAATGTACTGTGATCCTCCATGTTTCAAAGTATATATATACCTAGTAAAAGATCAATAAATGTGCAAAGAAATTAAAATGATAAATGAAGAAAAAAATGAGTAGTTGAGAAAGAAACCACATTAAAATTTATTCAGTTTATTGGTATAGTAAGATAAATATTTTCAAAAGTAAAAACATAATTTTTTACTTACTTTCGACAGTCCAATTTGAAGCATAATAGTAGTGAGTATGAAACAAATGCTGAAGACAATTGTAAATATTCCTGCAGAATACGTATCTGTTCACACAGAAAAAAAACAAACAAACTAATTACTAGTAGTAAATACAGTGGGTTACGTACAATTAGTTCCACAGTACAATTCATTAATTGGAAAGGAAAATATATTCATCATGGTAAGATGTTGGTTTAAATTAATTAACATTTCATGATAATATTATAAAGTAATAAGTTAGAAGTGTTAATAAATGCATGAATAGATACATAGAGTTTTTTTAATATCATAATTATCATTTCACGGATATGCGAATATTCACAAAAACCAAAGTTTTTGTAAACAGTTATATTTCATATTTTAATAACAATATTCACCAACAAAGTTCAAATAAGTTATGTACACATATTACCTGCTTTATCAAGTTCAAAATAAGGTCCAAAGAACCATTCAGATCTTCCTCCTTGCATGACATAAATTGCATAAACAGTGGTCAATATGTGAAGCACCTAAAAGAAGATCAATCTTCAATGACATAAATATATCCTCTTCAGACGTATTTAGTTATCTCAGTTAAGTTGACTAACCACGTGGTTTTATCATAAAAATGTTGGGAATTTCAAAGTCATACTCATTGTTACTTCGATTATTTAATATACTCACATTTAACTTTTAAGTTACAACACATATATTAAATTTTAGAGCTAGGTTAGTTCATGGTGTGTTTGTTAATTTACTATTAATATTAAAATAAATCAATAATATGCTTCCATAGACAAATATTTTCAAATATACTCACGCCTGTATAGACAGCAGCGTAGTAACTCCCCATTTTGACAGTAGTCCATGAATATACCTGAAATGGTGTCCAACATCTGTCTAACACTGGCATAATGGCGTCTGACTGGCAGTGGCAGAAACGAACAATTCCGGTTACGTTAGGCCTAAAATACTTGGATAACGTTACGTTAGGCTTACCTTTGTTTACAGGTGAGACTTGGTTGCCAGTTATTATGAAACCTTTTTATATTTTAAACTTATTTTCAATGGATTATAACACTATGAACAATACGAATATTACTCTGCAGTATATGGGGACTTTATATGGTTATTTCAAATATATTGATTCTTTTTCAAAATTTCAGCTATAAACTTCTATATAAAATTAACAAATACCTATCACTGAACCTCACCTATCTCTGAAGTCGTTATTGTACTTAGCTCGAGGCGTTTCCGCCCAGAGCACCTGTCGACTTCAGCCAATCAACATGCTTGAATTGCCAGTTAAGTTATACTGTCTTCAGAAGCTTCACAGTTCTTATGCATCAGAAGCAATATAGTCTTTTTTGTCACATTCTTTGTGAATGACCATCACTTAAATTTCTCGCATTCTCAGGAACAACAACAACAAGGAAGTTGTCAATCTCTGTGTCCGTTATAACCAGTATAACATGGGACACAATATTGCCTTAAAGTTGCTCCAACTCTGGTTCTGACTATTTTTACCCTTCATTTAATATAGCATAATGCTCTAAACAGTACAAGCTTTTTACGAATCAGTCTACATTTTTTAATTATTTAACATTAAAACAATACAATGATAGCAGTTTCTTATGACAAATAAATTAGCTTTTCACTGTAGGTGGCGTGGTGTATTAGACGATGATATTTGAGAGCAAGCACTTTGTCGCGAAGGTTTTGTTTAAGTATATATTAAGCGATATTCACTTTACTTTTGGAGCTAGGTTAGACGATTTTTCTTTATATTCTCGAAATGTTTTCTTATGAGCGTTAAATTTTTCTTTTTTATGCCAAGCTTATGTAACTGATTTTAACACATTTTAAAACTTCAAGCCACTGTGTATGATCCAGCACGACACTCTCCAGCACAGCAATTTTATTGTTGAACCTTAAAGGCCACCTCTAGAGGTGTTTACAAAAAAATAAAAAATAAATAAAGAATGTTAGCACCTCTGTTATATAATGTAATAATGTATCATCTTGTCACTCTATACTGCTTTTGATCAATTAAAATAAAATTAAAATATTAATTAAATATTTGTGAATCCATACATTCATCTGTATCTGACATAATTCTGAAAAATGTATCCAATATTGCTGCCATTCTGAAATAAATATGTCACACATACAATAAAACGTCTTTTTTTTTCTGTAAATAAATTTGTATTCCTTTCAGCATGGATTTATTCTGTTCTGCCACTATGTTATAGATAAATTTAAGTTATTGATGTTTATATTCGGCCATATTTTAAATTCAAAATGGCTGTCAGTGCAGTGTTTGTACATTAATTAGTTTGTAATATTCTGAAAGATCATTTTATGCTTCGAATGAGTGTTTTCAAATACATATTTTTGATAATTTGCCCTGAATAAGTGGTGAAATATTTGGTTCACTGTTGGTGGCCAAAGTTGTTGTTTGGCAAGCATTGGCAGTACATCAGTACATTCTGCTTGCTAGCACAAATAAAATGCACGAAGCTCTTTCAAATGAAACTATACCAACTTATTCCCCACGTAATCCTGTCAGTATAAGAATCAAATTGATGGCAAATGGTAAATATATATTTATGAATCTTTAAATTTATTCGCACGTGACAAATGTTTGAAAAAGTGTCCAATATTGCTGCAATTCCGCGTTTTTAAGTGACAGCTTAAATGGTTTAATTTAAATAGATACATAGTAAGTTGTTCAGATATAGAAGAAACTGTGGATGCAATAAAGCCTGTTATTATTCATTATTCTGTTGAATAAAAGCAGCGTAGAATGGGAAAATAATCAATGATTTATTAAACCAAACAGTGTTGCAAAAATTTCACGGCCAACTGCCATTTTGAATTCATCGTGGTTTTTAGAATGCATACTTTCTAGAGGTTGTAACAACTATTCTTCAAACCGCTGGGGTTTCTCTTAAACACTCAACAGTAAAATCAGGCTATGTTATATGTAGTCGTTGTCTACCTTGTAGCAGAAGACTGGTGAAAGAGCACTGGTGGGGCTGGAGGCATAGGTCAATTTATTTTGCCCGACAAGGAGGTATTTCATAGGCAACTGACAAAGATGCAATTACCACCACGATGAAATTTCAAATGACTTTAGCTCTAAAATTAGATGATTTGTTTCCTTTAGTTTGACAGTGAGTAACTATTAGGTAAAACAACAAACAATCATCTTGAAGGTATTGTTACGTCTCCGTTCGTTAGTTGATTTTCCGTAAATTCGTTCCCACGAAACTTTAGCGACACAAGTCCTTTCTTAATAAAACTGGTTTATTCTTTCTGAATAT